TTGAGCATAAGTCAGTTTCGTGCAGTCGTCTGTAAATCTGTTGTAAAGGTTTGTTGGGGACTTCACCATTTTCTTTAATTGACCCAAGAAATTTTCGAAAGGGAAGGCTGAAAAATTGTCTAAACAACCAAACAGCTGTACATCATCAGTTAAGTGACATAACATATGTATGTTGTACACATAATATTCTTGTCCATAAAGCTTGCTACAGTGTGTCACAAACGTGTTAAGCATTTCGCTGGCGCTGGCAATAAATTTTGAAATATGATTATCGGAAACTAAGATAGTAATAGCACAATGCAGAAGCATGAAGTGCTCGTATACTGCAAGAGCAAGTTTATTTTTTAATACAACGGGACCAAGATGTAACAGGAATGTGCGAAATTCTGTAAAGTAAAGTAAAGTAAAGTAAAGTTTATTATTAGTTCTCTAAGACATATATAAATGTATAGAACAAGTCAATTACAGTTTAAACATTAAAATCACAAATAGGTACATACATATACATATACATACAGATATGCAGACATAAGTTCAGATTACAATGTTGGGTCATTAAGAAATTCTTCTAACGAGTAGTACTCATTTTCAATCAGTAACTTTTTTATATAATGTTTTTGTTTATCTTGATTTATATTCTTTAAGTGATCATATAATTTATTATAACAGCATATAGATAGATAATGTGGACTATTTTTATAGAGTGCTGTCTTATGCAGGGGAATTTCTAATTTGCTTCCATTTCTTGTTTTATAAGTGTGGTTGTTATTTAATGGCTTATATGCACCAATATTATGTATAGTATGGATTATGAGGCTGTATATGTAGATGCCTGGAACCGTCATTATATTCAATCTTTTAAAGAATGTTCTGCAACTGTTATAGGATCTAAGGTCTGCGATAGTTCGAATAGCTCTCTTTTGTAGTCTGAATAGTCTAATCGTTTCTGAGCATGCACCCCAGGCTATAATACCATAACTTAATAGTGAATGTATTCGTGAAAAATAATAAAGTTTTAAAATGTTATTATCTACTGTTCTTTTTAATTGTTTTAAGGTAAAACATTGTATCAAAAGTTTTTTACTCATGTACTCTATATGATTTGCCCATTTAAGCCTATTATCCACTATAATGCCTAAGAATCGTGTTGCTTTTAGTTGTTGTATTGACCCAGCCTTTGACTTAATTAGTAAGCTTAAGTTTTGTTCACTACCTTCATTGGTGAATTGAATAAATGCTGTTTTGCTATAATTTATAAACAATTCATTACTTTGGAAGAAATCATCTAACTGTTTCAACCTTTCAGTTGCAATTGTACAAATGTTTTCCCTTTTGCGAGCAGTTACAAGAGACGAAGTGTCATCTGCATACATTATTGTGTTTTCATATGTTAGGTCAAGTACATATATTATATATAACAGTGGCCCCAACACAGATCCTTGGGGAACTCCTCTATTTGATGTTAATAAATTGGATTTAACACCTTCCATTTCAACATAATATTGCCTATTTTGTAAATAGCCTTCAAACCAGTTCCATGGGACACCTCTTATACCATTATGCCATAGTTTTGCTAGTAGCTTGTTATGATTGACTAAGTCAAACGCTTTGCTGAGGTCAATAAATAGCCCAACACAACTCTTTTGCATATCCATATTTTTATATACTGCATTTAAAAAGTCGGCCATGGCAGATGATGTCGATTTTCCAGCCATGAATCCATGTTGATTGGGGTTCATGCGTATGCTTCTAATTAAAAAATTTATTAATTTTTTTGCAACTATTTTCTCTAAAATTTTAGAAAATGTATTTAAGTTGGAGATCGGTCTATAATTTTTTGCTAATGTCGGATCATCTTTTTTAAATACTGGCAGAACTTTAGCTATTTTTTGTGAGCTTGGAAATTTACCTTTTGTTAGAGAATTATTAATAATTATGGTAAGAGGTATACACAATTCTGCTGCACAGTCTTTGATAAGTATAGCCGATAGTCCATCAGGCCCACAAGAATTGCTATTTTTTAATTCATATATTGTGTTTAACACTTCATTTTCTGTAACGGGGGTAAAGTACAGTGTACAATTATTACTTTTACTAGAAGGTAAATTTATCCCATTATTAACTTTGTCTTTATTTAGGTATTCATTTATAACATTATTAAAGTATGCGTTAAAGTGATTTACACATTCCTGAGTATCATGAATTAAGCTATCTCCCGAGTTTAAACTGATTTTTTCATTTTTCTTTTTTGGTTTTTTACCTATAATTTGCCATGCAGTTAAGCCTTTATTTTTCGATATTTGCATTAAGTAGTTATTATGTCTTTTTTTTGCTGCCTGTATAACTCGTTTGTAAATTTTTTTATATTCTTTGTAATGCTCGATTATGGATAAATTTCCGCTTTTTGTTAGATGAAAAAGCTCTTTCAGATGTTGAGACGACTTTTTTATCCCTTGAGTGATCCACATATTGTTGGTTATTTTATTATTAGTATATTTTACTTTTTGTGGAAATGTTGCCTCAAAATTTATATTTATAACTCGCATGAATTCATTAAACTGCAAATCGACATCATAGTAATCCCCGTTTGTCAATGAATCATACCAATTCTCTTGAGTTAGTAAATTTTTAAATTTATTTATGTTATTTATATTGTTAGTTTGTCTATATTTTACCTTGTTTTTATTTTCAGAATTATCTGTAGTTTCCTGAAATATTTCTACTACCTGTGCTGCATGGTCAGACCAACCAGTGAAAATTACCTCAGATTTATCTACCATCATTTCTATGGGGATGCATATATTATCCAGACAGCTGACGCCTCTTGTTGGTTTGTCTATTACGGGTTTTAGATTGTATGAACCTAGCATATCAATTAATTCATTACGTTGTTCTGAAATTTTTATAAAATCAATATTAAAATCACCACTTAATATAATACTATATCCCTGAAATTTACTCAAAATATCTAAAAGTGATATTAATTTATCTATAAATATGTCCACATTACCATGACTGCTGCTACGGTACAAAGCTGCAACTATGAATTTTCCGAAATTAGGATGATTAAATCTTACAGCGGAGCATTCGAAGTGAAGTTCCACACATAGGTCTTTTATTTTTTCAATAGGTTCACCACTTATTCCTAGTTTTCCAAATATGGCCGTTCCTCCCTGTTTGAACTGGCTCCTACTGAAGTAGTCAAGAATTCTGTAATTTTCTAAATTCACTCCTAAGATGGTATTATTTTGGTACCAATGTTCAGATAAACAAACTATGTCACTTTCACATTCTGCAAGCAATATTTCGAGTTCAGTTACTTTATTTGTTAAACTTTGACAGTTCTGGTGTAGTAATGCGAGTTTTTTGCTATTATTAGATGTCACTGGATGTCGTTGTTGTTTGAAATGTTCACTTATCTGTTCTGGATTTTTCACGAAAAAAACTATATCTTCTAACCGTCACATTTTCGGGCCAGTTTTCTTCGTTCTGCAGTTCTTCTAGAAGAGAGTAGTCAGCCCCTATTTTAAACGATATGCTATTTGCATTTTCCCTCGTTGGTAGTTGTTCGACTATAAATTGTTTATTGGGGAATGTCGTCTGCAAGTAATTTTGTACTTGTTCTGCTGTTGTATTTAGCTGAACCTTCCCCAGATGTAGCCAAGCACGTTTGGTTACCCCCGCGAAAGAGTTATTATTGGAGTACGTCCCTTTGTTAGTAATACTTTTTTTACCGTTTACGACATATTTCTTCTGATTTTGTTCGTCCAAGTCCTTGATCGTTGTTTTCAGCCTGTTTACGGTTTTTGTGCTGGGTCTTGTTTTGCTCGTATCTTCTTTTTGCTTGGAGATATATTCATCGGTTTCTTTTTTCTTCCTTTTATCAATGACTTTATGTTGATTGTTTGTTATCTTTGCAGAGGGCACTGACCCCGTTGTCAAATTAACTTGTACATGCAGAAGACGGATAATTGTCTCTTGGTCCGTAATTCTTTTTTCGAGATGACTGTTTAGTTTGTTTAAAGTTGAATTTTCACGTTTTACAAACTCACATGTCTTTATTAGATTCTCATGGTCCTCTGTAGCGTCCTCCATGGCATCACTGTATTCAATACTGTCATCGTTTGACCTTGTTCTTGATATCACTAGGGCACTTTCACTCAGCGTTTTTGCGAAATCTATAAGCACTTTGTTGTTATTAACATATGCCGGTAACTCTTGATGTATTATAAGGTTAATAATGTCAGATTTCTTCAATTTATTGAGCTCTGTGCACAGTGTGTCTGCATCCGTCGCCATGTTGGACTGTAGCTTTCCATCTGGCTAATTCATCCAATGGTCGGGGTTTCCGATTAAATTCAGATGGTAAATATATTCTCAGTTGCACTAAATGGTCAGAAATAGGGATGTACCGACTAGTGGCCGACCGGTCGGATAAGCCGACTATTCGGCCGTTTTTCATCGTCGGCTGCAGTCGGCGACTGGTCGGCTAAACAGCCGATCGGTCGGCTTTTTTTTATTAAAATTAAAATAGTATATAAAACAATTAAATCCGGTTTACAGAACCTCAATTAAATATTTAATTGCCATTTAATTTTTAACCCCGTGTTAAAGTACCATATGACCAACTCTACGCCAATCAGACGTCGCTAATTAGGCCTTGTTAAATGCGCGATCAACTTAGTCTCAGTTAAATTATTGTATAAACTGGCCCTAAATTGTGTTATTCTTTATTTTTGTAGTGAGTTACTAAAAAAATTAAATGTTAAAATTATCCAAACAAATTTAACACATTTTTTGGAATCCAAAGGAACTTTAGTTATTCCTTTTATTAAAATAAAACAAATTTTTAAGGTAGTCAGAAAAATAGAAAAAGAAAACACACTGTCGTATTTATAAACCGGTTTTAGCAAAGCTGAACAGTCGGCCGACTAGTCGGTTTTTACTGGCCGAACAATCGGCTAGTCGGTTAGTCGGCCAGACCTACAGTCGGCACATCTCTAGTCAGAAATTTGTTTTGCTAAATTATTACCCAGTCTCACATGAAGTGGACCACTCAACCAAGAGTTCAATAATTTGCGTACAACTCCTAAGCAGATGCAATGCATGTAATCAATGGGGAAACATGCAATAAAATCAATTGGCAGGACTAACAGAGGCGTTTCGCCCACGTGATGCTCTTCATCTAATTGCAATCTAAATGAACGATCAGTTCTCTTAGGTGCAAAAATGTTCTTTAATGTCACTCTACCACAATAATACTCCCCTGGATCATGACATTTATCGCAGGATGAGTATCCTCCGTGAGATTTAACGCACTTTATAAACGCCTTTGCAGGACTATCGCAAACAAAGCTGTGGATCTCAACTGCGTATTTCCTGTTGTTATATTCAAAGCCGTTAACCAATAACTCTTTCAGCTCAGTTACAAAATCACTCAAATAATTAGGGAGTGGTTTTGGTTTCGAAGTCCCACAAAATATGCCAATAATAAACGGACTAGTTTTGGAGTTTTTAATTAAACCTAATATTGGCCACAATTGAACTTTTGAGCTATTAAAAAGAGGAAGACCATCAATGTTAAAACTTAATTTTAAGAGATTTTTATCAAATGAATTTGCATGTATTTTATCTAACTCAATTGTTAAACTTTTAAGAAGACCAAAATGACAATATTCTCCAGTTTCTAATATTTTACTTGTAAAATCTAACGGAGTTTTTAATAATGTTCTGCTGTCAGTAGGAAGTTCAGGATGAAATGGGGACAACATTTTTAGAAGATCAGTTAAAGCTGAGCGAGAGATACAATGTTGAACTGTTGCCCAGCGTCTTAACTGAGATAAAAGGTTATATTCTTTCTCGTCAGAGTTCTCGTCATTGTTAGCCGAAATTTCAAAATCGCTACATACGGAATTAGTTTCACAAACATTGTGATTATTTGAAAAGTCATTGCACTGACTAAAATTTGTTTTAATTGAATGAGGTGAAATATAATTCTCAATTGTCTGACTACTTGAAGAGGTTGATGGTCCTTTAGACGTTATAGAATGAACACTATTTTTTATTTTATTTACAGTTTCTGCCACTCTGCGGTTAAATTGTCTTTTCCCTACCAAATCTTTACGTTTGCGCAACATTTTGCAATAGAATTAAATAATCTTAAACTGAACGCTTACTGACCTTTTGAATCCGTTGAGGAGCGTGTTTCAGATATACCTTTATATCTCCTTCTATAATTTGCTCTGTTGCCGTCCGTTGCTCAGTTTAACAGCACCTGCAAATAATATAAATAGTAAAAATATTAAAGCACACTGATTTTTTTTCACTTACGGATAACAACTTTGTTAATAAGGAGTTCGTGAAAAGCCTTCTTTTCTTTTCGCGTACCTCTAAAACTGTACGTACAGGCCACCTTATCCGTGATTAAATGTCGTAAGACATTATTTGTTTGCGAGGTTCGGTCACGACTTCCCAACGTAGACAGATACAAGCTCTGAGAAAAAAGCAATTTTATAAAGGCCAAAAAATAAAGAACATATAAACTTACCAACGCAAAAAGATTTTCTTTGTCTTGTATAAAGTCCTCCAAAACGTTCAGTTCTTCTTGTGTAGTTACTGGTAATTGGACCGGTATATTATCGGGCAAAATATAGCGTGGTGCAGACTGTGGGTTGTTTTTTTTAAGTATCGCCAAAATTTCTTTATTTTGCTCTTTCACTTGAGCTACAAGTGCAATTAATTGGCTTTGAGTACCTAAAAATAGTGACATATGTAATTACTGTATAAAGTGAATATTTTTAAGATGACTAAAATTATTTATGCGTAAACAAGTAGCCACTATTCAAAAGTCAGGACAAAAAAGATACTTTACCTAAAAAATCTTTTTTAAATAGAATAAATTTTACCTGCACAATCACATACTCCTGATCTAGGGCCGGTTTATCAATGCGCAGTTAAGTTAAAGTAACTGGCAGTTAAAGCTTGTCTGTGAGTTAACCTGTTTATCATTACCCGCTAGCTCAAAACTGGTGGTCAAAGTGCCTGATAAATTAACTGACAGTTCAAACTGTCAGTTAAAGCGTTATCCACCAGTTAGTGGCAACATAACCTAATAAATCCAAATAAATCTGTTATGAATTTAACAATATTTTGATGAGGACTTATGTTGTGCAACAAATTGACAGAGAAAAGATGAGAAAAACACTTATTATTAGCTGATTATTTTCCAGGTCTAATGTAGATACCAAAAATTAAAAACTTATCTAATAATACCGCGAGATCGAAAAAGAAATTAATCGAAGTGGGCCATGCACGACAAGCCGTTTGTCGTAATCACGGTGGTAGGGTAATTTAATTTTTTTTATTAAATGTCAAACTGACAGTTTAAAATTAGAATTATGACGCCTACTTTTAAAACATAAGAATGAATTAAAATCACCGTTTTCCAATTTTGTCTAAAATTTATCCCATTTCTAAAGATTCCAATAACAAAAAAGCTTTAATTTCGTTTGATAACAGTGCAATAGTGTATTAAGTATTAAGAACGGTAAGGGGTGTTTACTGGTCGAAGGCAAAAGTTTGGAGACGGAGCGAAGCGACGTCTCCAATTTGTCTGAGACCAGTAAACCCCCTTAACGTTCGTGATGCTTATACTATTTTTTGTACGACCATCAAAAGATTTGCGTCTTTTTATCAAATTCATAAATTGAAAGAATTTATATCAAACATCAACAAGGTCTTTTTTTTAATTTAAAATTTGTTACTATGGTTTCGATTAATATAAACAACAATTTTAAAAATCAGTTTCCATTTTAACCGCTGTCGTTTTAGATTTGATCTGGCTTGATTTCGAGTTAATTTTCTTTCCGCGACTATAAGGGAGTGATTTATTTGCTTAAAATATCCAATCATAAGTGATGCTGAAAGCGAAAATGTCGAAGTCGAACACGCATGGAATTTCAAATAAAAAAAATCTTGAATGCATGATTACTTACCGTTCAGCTGAACAGTAAGTAATTTACTTACCGTTCTCCCCTTAGTTGTTAGTCGTAGCAACCCGTAAAGTGAACTTACTGCTATGGAAACCTGTACGGTTGTTACGAGCCAAACTCACAGCTCGTTGCCGGCCTGCTAGTGGAGAAGGGGTGAGTTCCTGCGGGTGCAAAGGGTCAGGTCGCTAGAGGTTCGCAAAGAAGAGAGAGCACACTGTTTGGTGTAGCGACGTCGCCAGGGCGCCACCAGTTTTTATTAAGACACAATTACAACAACAAAAAACCGGAAAAATATTTAACTATTGTAATTGCAAGCTGTTACTTAAAATATTTGATTACAATAACACCTCAGGTCACTAATTAAAAAGATAAGAGTGAGAAATAACTAAATAATTAAGCAAAAGAAAATGAGTAAGATATTAATGATAATGATTTAATGCGACTAATGGTTTACGATAAATACGAGCAATACGAACGATAGTTTAATTACGAAAGGCGACGAACTACTTAACGATAAATACGAGCGATACGAACGATGTTTACGAAGCGAACAAATTAGTTGGAGTCGTAACGAATAACGATTTGATTAATTATTTCGAGGGCTATGGGATAAACGAAGTAGGCCACACGCTCGGTAGTCCTAACGAACGTACGGAGGTATCAACGTAGAGCGGAGCGTCACAGTCTTACCGGTTGTTATTACTAGGTTATGTGCGAGTGCTAGTTACGCCAAACTTCGAAACGTTTTGCGATACAATAAAGAAAAGGTAAGGCGACTAATACTTAAACTTAATGAGATGGAATGGAAGTACCATGGGCACTTGCCTCCTTCGATATCCACGACGAGATGTCGAAACACAGCGGCGTCGCAGCGAATTTCCAGTCGATGTCGAGTCGAGGTTTTTGGTGACGGCCTGTCCAACCGATGGTAACTCTCCAGCTGTTCTGGGAGGGCTCACAACTGCCCGCGACAGTTGGAATTCATAGAATTCGTTCTCCCACTCAAAACTGGCTCCAATTCTCGATCACGGGAATAACAAGATCAGCGACAAAACAAAAAAAGCTGCAAGGAGAGCAAAGTCTGAGAAGATGTTCGAACTCAGTCAACCCCAAGGGTTCCACATGTCACATGCACTTGGTAAGTAGTAAAATATTATCGTTAACATGAAAATAACCATAACCACTGTTCGAAGGGATGCCAGGGAAAAGCTAATCAAAAGATTTACCTGCGGATCGACTGCAGCTTCTCCGATTTTAGCGGGATGGTCTAGTGCCCTTAACCCAAAATCCGACAAAGTCGTAGTGCTCGAACGCACTATTTCTTTTACAGCTCACAAATGCGCTCCAAGCGATAGCACCTTGTAGGGGACCCAACAGATCCGACGAATGCGATTCCAAACGTAACGCCAAAGAAAAGGTTGCTAAAACGAACTGCAAAAGAGGAAAGCACTAACCCCCAACATCATTCAACACGGAGTACCAAAGCAAAATGGATTCCCTTCCACCTGCGATGACGTGGCAAGGTAACGAAGCGAGAGTTCACGGAAGTTTGGCCCTCTAGTGGCAAACTTACGAAACGTCGAATTCCGACGAAAATCCCTAATCGATGTAACTAATGAGTGGATGCGATGGTTATTAACAAAAGAAAAAAACAAACAAGGCTATCAAGATTCCAGAAATGACGAAGACTCTAGGGGACGCTCCACGGCGTTTGTTCCCACCTAGGTAAGCAAATGAAATTCGCGAACAAAAATAACAAACAGAACGAAAATCGAATTTCAGAGTGAAGCTCTGGGATGGCGCGATCCATCCAGTTCCTTATAGCAAGAACCAAGCTGAAACGATCCAGAAGACCGATCTACAAACAGCGAGGCTGAAACACTCATCTGAGCCCCTCCAAGCTCAGAATCATCGCGACAGTCTTGCGACTGGGGGAGTCAAAAGCTCGGGACGAACCCTCCACCAAAGTTGTCCTTCATTGCCACCGTGCCCAACCCAACCACCCATGCACGAAATGACGAAACAAAAAAAAAAACGAGTAAACAAAATGTAATCCGATCCGAGAATGCCAATAAAAACCGAAATAGCTACTGCGAATTTTCAATTCGTAACACGGTAAATGATCGAAAAAGCGATGGTCGTACAAAAATTACTTTTGTCAACGTGACGATTAATAAATAGTATATTATTAGCCAAGGTTGCAGAGCCAAGCATTCTAGACCGAGCGCAAATTAGAACCCGAGACGCGCAGCGTCGAGGGCTCTGAAGCGCGAGGTCTAGAAGTGGCTTTGCAAGCGTGGTTAATATACTATTTTTTTCACTAGTAGAAACCATAAGACAATAAACTGAAAAAATTAACGTTCAATTTTTTGACGCAACATGATTTTGTTTTGATTTCTAATCAAACTTAATCTAAATCTTCAACACAAAGAAAACCGTTTATACTTGTCGCTGAGTTAATCATTTTATCTTCTACCGTCTACCAACTACCATGCGTATACTCAAGTAATGTTTGTAGCACACATTTGTTCATTTTTTAAGAAATAGTCACATCAAACATTGCGTACATAACCTCAATTTTTCTTTTTGAACCGGTGGTCGCAAAAGTTGAATTTGCTACCACTAAATGAGTCGACATTTGCATGCGTCCTGGCTGCTAGTGAAAAAAAAAAATTTTAAACTAAGACAACCGCCATTTCGTGCATGGCCAACTTTGACTAATTTCTTTTTCGATCTCTCTGTATTTATTTACAGGTGTACCCACTTGTTTCATTTTTAATTTCCAATATTTTTTTTCTAATGCTAAATTTTGGTTTTCATGATTGATCACGTGAAACGCGATATACAATCGTTGAATACCGAATGCGGATCGAATCTGATGGAACTTTCAAGGTCGGGGAGTTTTGAACTGACCAATCACAACTCATTCCCAGTGGGGTGAGCGTTACCACCTTAAGAGAGTAACATCTAAACTTCGAGCTACGAAACTGGAAGAAACATCGTGCATTGATAAACACTTTACCTCCGTTAACTGCTAGTTACCCTTATCTGACAGTTACTTAACAGACACTTTTAACTGAGCATTGATAAACCGGCCCCTACTAGACGTCACCAGTGAACTTGTAGACGGTAACGATAGACTATCG